CAAACAGCAAAAAAAATAACACCCGAAAAGCCCATCAAACAACAAAAAAGACCAGACAACAAAAAAATAAACACTCTTACCCTCCATTATAGGGGGATAATATCCCTAAACCCTAAACCCTAAACCATTATGGTAACTTAATTTATGTTCCTTAACAGCAACCCAGGCCACTGTCCACCGCCACCTTAGAGCTTGGAACCGTGGCATCTGCCACGGCACTCTACAACCACCGCGTCTTCAATCGGCGCAAGTCGGAGCTCAGCCTCAAAGATCACATGAGCTAGGGTCTAAACTCCGTAAAAGGGGGGTTATATTGGGATTTATATAGGGGATTACAAAGGGGTTATGAAGGGGGATACTAGGAGTTTAGACTATAGCTGACATGTTCATGATTTTCCAGGTTTCAATGGCTGGCTGTCTGTGCAGCTATAAGGATGAGGCCGCTTCGTTTTTGGGGGGCTTCCTGAAAATTCAGCGTTACATTTCTGGGGTCGCTATGATAAGGATTATATTCAATTCGGGTCTATATTTTGGTGGCCTTTTTTCGGGAAGTAAGCGTTTAAAGACATCAGCAGAACTCAGGAGCAACCAGCTTGGGGCGATCAAGCTAAAAGCACTTTGCCAGTTGTCCCGGTGGCCATTCATGCCTTCACAGAGACCTGCAGGCTCATTGGCTTGGGTTTAGGGGTTATGAGGGCTTAATTTGGGATTTCCCTAAATAAGGGTTTTGGGATTTAGGGCTTAGGGTTAAGGGTTCAGTGTATGTCGCACATCTCGCGGATCAGGTGTACCTTATGTGGGGGGTGCTTATAGTAAGGATTATAGCATTTTGACCGCTATAGGTCTTAAGGTCCCCTATCCAAGGAAAGGACCAAGTATCGATGAGTATAGAATTAGTCAAGAGCCCGTCGTGCTTGATCGCGATTGACCTGACTGCCTACATTGAGTGGCATGAGCAACTGCTCCTCCCTTAATGAACGACCCATATACATACTATGGTTTATTGGCAACAGGAGTGCTGAACAGTAAAGCAAATGCCCGCGGCCCAAACCAACAAACAGATTATTCCGGAGGGTGTTCATTGCAAGACCTTCTAAACGGGGACCTATAGGATTTCCATTACAAAAGCAGTAGCAACTCCGGGAAATCAAGCAAATCCGTTGTGCTAATTTAACATCCTGTTGATTCTTTGCATGGTTGCCTTTAGAGAGTGCCTTTGCAGAAGCCGTATCAAAAGCCGTAATTAAGAATCCAGAAACCAAGGCAACCCCGATTCCCAATTTCAGTTTCTGGATATTTTGCACAGGTTCCTTCATAAGCCGTGCGAGACAATGAAATTCCGAGAAATCTAGGGAACCTCTGTTCCCTCACAGGCACTCAGAATGCTAATCCTAATTCCTTATAGAAGCCTTGCAAACTCACTGCTAATACTCCCTAATGGGCTCCTTTTCAAAGTAGTTTAGGCATCCCATTGAGTTTGTGTCGTTAGGGGCATATTTTCTAAATCCGGGAGGTGATCAGTTAAGACCTTCCGATTTATTTCCCAGCGACGCCCCTCCCCCCCCAATCATCTCATCCGGTGGAGCATTGATGATTAATCTCGGAGCCCTCGTGTTCTTGCAAGGGTCCTTCGTGCATTCAGGGTTCGGGATTGCGACGCGTAGGCGCGGCTTGAAGCCCACTTACCTACGCCGGACTGAGGACATGGATGACGTCTTACCTGCGTATGTTTGTTTGTCGGAAAATCTGTCGGAAAATCTGGGCACCAGGTAGTTGCAGCAAATGGCGCAGACAACAGCAAACAATGAGCAAAGCCAAGCGCCGGTTCACAAGGCTGAGACTTCGCATAGCTAAAAACCAAGATGCTGTCCACCTCATGAGATTCGGATTTCCTGCAGCTGTGAGAGTAGTGGGCTGTTTTTGACTCTGTGGAGGTTAGTTTCAGTCTTGGCGTCGACGGTCTATGACGGAAGCAATTACTTCTGGATCTTTACCAGCCTGCTGTCGCTGATCTTGCATCTTGGACTGAATGTTCTGCTGCCCTGTCAGTTTGGTTGTCTTCAGAGCCTGGGGAAAGCATGTCCAGCTCAGGAACGTGATGAACAGACAGGGCTGGAGCAGATTTCTGGTGACCAAGATGCTCACCCGCCTGGGACTCAAGCCTCAAACCGTGTTGGGATGCACCGCGCCAACAGCAATCAGCCGGCTCCACGATGTTGCGAAGATTAGCTGCGGGTATCCCCGGATGATTGCTCCGGCTGTTCTTGGACTTGTCCAGCTGGTGACTGGTCATGGCTTTTACCGCTCTACCAACACCATAGTAGCTCTTGCGCTGATCTTTGTCTTTGAGGTTCTGGAGGATATTTGTCACCATCTGGAGGTCTTACCATTTGCACCGGTTCCAAAAGCAGCTGCCGAATACTTTGCATCGCTTGACAGGTACTCACCCTACCAAAGCACTGTTCCAGTCATGCCGCGCGAAGACAGCCCAAAGCTTCCGTACCACCGCTCGAGCCCCTCGCTATCTCCCAGAAAAACGGATGAACCTGCAAGCCCCTCCAGCTTAACTTCACTTCCTGCGAGTGGTTTCGGCAGCGAAGACACTGAAATCAGACTTCCTCCTCGCCGCAAGTCGGTACATTCGGTAAGCAGTGCAATAAGCACGGGTGGCGTAGAGGCAGGGGTGGCTGGCCAGGTTCGAAGATGGTGGGGACAGGATCTCAAGGTACATATGGCTCTCCGCCTATGGCATTTGAGAAGCTGGTCTGGACCTCAGCCACAGTCCACCGCTTGGATTGAAAGAGTCCGCTTGCCGTATGAAATGTTGCAATGTGCAATTGCCGCGTAGACGTAGAGATGGCTTCCAGACCAGGGTTTCACTAGCACTGACTGTTTATAGCAGCTACTAGATGACGCAGCCTCGTGCCACTGACCATTAATGTGTTCATGCATTGCGTTGGCAGCGCGGACATGCCCAACAAAGACCTTGTTGCCCAGGTCATGGCCTGTGACATTGAGCATGATCTGGATTATGAACGTGTACACCATATGCTGTTTGGAGCTTCTGCTTGGTCCTGGCTACCTTCGAGGCCTCTGTGCTGAGCCCACATCTCGACAGGCCTTCAATCCCAATCTTTGGCAAGATTATCCTCTCGGATGCTGAGCGGATCTGGCACAATTTTTCATGGCCAGCTATGAGTCCAGAAGCCCGTTCATCGTTTCTGCAGCTGTTGCTGTGGCACGCGGCTCTGCCAAATGCGGCCTGAAACGCTTCAGTCTTGTGGGGACCCGTCGCATTCGCCAAGCGAGGCACATTGCTCCAGGCCCACAGCTTGACCAGCATGCCGAAGGCATGCGAGGGATGTGTTGGAAGGCGCAAGGAGCACTCTACAAGCCATCATTGTACGTTCGAGTTGAATGCGTTGAGGAGCATTTTGCTGCAGCTACCGCTCAAGTTGCTGATCCTTCCTGCGCGTTTCCTAAAGGCAGCATGGTAAAATCACAGTCAGTGAATCCAAGCGTGTGATTTATAGGATCTTGCATTTCAAATTGATAGCTTCATGGGAGTTTTGCACTGGGCCATAAGTCTGCACCACCTTTGCAACAAAAATCAGCAATGGTGAGATGGTGGATTTTAAGATTTTCCCTGCTGCCGACGCCTCTGACAACTTCAGTGCAGCCTGGTTTCCGTCGTCGGACGTGAAAACCATATGCTTCAGTAGACCCAAGTTGGTGAGGCAAGATAGCGCCTCGTTTTGGACAAAAAAGGCATCAGTGGCTACATCGATGTCCTGATCATTGTTGAGGTTGCGCTACTGGGTGCAGGTTATCACCACTGGTTACCTGAACTCTAGAAGTCTGCAGCCAACAAAACATGTATCCCATTTGGGGGCCTGGTATATGGGGTTTAGGGCTTAGGATGCGCCACATGCGAAGCGCAGGGCCTGGCCGCCATGCGCGTGGATTACCTTGATACATTGCTCGGGAGTCTTGGCCATTGACTGCTAACTTGCAGAGCCTGCAGCCATCGCGGCCCTTCAAGCAGGGTATGTTGACATCCATGACAGTGCAATAGAACGAGATATGTTGTATGGATGGAAGCGGAGTCCTCCGAAACCCGAGTTTGCAGCCGGAAGACCATGTTTATCCCACGTCGCATGCAGATGTCTAGATGTGCATGAATGAAAGTCAACGTGCTGATTGTTGTGGGTAATCCGCCCACATAACCGCAATTTACAATTTGTCGGAAATAGATTTCTCTGCTGCAGCAGAATGAGCAATGGCTCTGCCACCAAGGACTAGCCCAGCCTTGTCCAATGTTGCTTGGCTGACAGGGTCAAGTTGTGCAAGTGCCTAACTGACTGACGCCCAATACGAGCCATAGTCTACACTCCTAAAAGGGGGAAATATGGGGGATTCCAGGGGAGTATTATGGGGCCTACTAAGGGGGATACTGGGAGTTTAGACTATAGCTCATATATGCTCCCAAGGTTCATATGCAAACCCAAACCGGGGTTTGCATGCTGTTGATATGACAATTACCCACTTCCCCCTAAGAGCCCTAGCAGCGCTAACAATAGCTTCCACCCGCTATAGTAGAAAGTACCATTATAATTCAAGGTGATTATTCATGATTATCAGGGTCAGGGGCTTGCAATCAAGATTGGGGAAGAGGATCCGTTTAATCAGGGTAATATCCTTACACCCCAAACCCTAGATAGTAGTTTCCATCACATTCTCTATTTGATTCACCATTTTCGGGATAATAATCATGTCCCTACGTAACCCCTGTATAACCACTACATATCCTTGTCAAATCCTGATATCATCCCTGATGTTGGAGTGAGTCCGTTGGCCAGGTGGAAGCAGGCGTTTGCTATCCTTTGGCTGCGCCCTTAGCCCACTTCCAAGGTTGCATACATTCTCCGTGTCTTTCGGTCATCTTTTTAAGACTTGGAACGTTACCTTCAGATGAATTCTCCTCTACGGGGCTCAACGTCTTTTCTGCAGCGCAATCGCCTGCATCATCATCATCATCATTACCAGCATGAACAACAGCAACAAAAGCAGTTGGCGCAGGCAGATGTTTAGATCCGGTGTTTGCCATTTGCTGTGGTCTGTACCCGTAGTTGAGTCAACTTGACTTGCCATGAACTCCACCTTCAATCCTTCCCGTGACAGTGCTTGGATGTTTCAGGCGAACGCTACCAGGGACGCCCGAAAAGGGACCCCTAGTTTTGGGAAACTCCAACCCCATATATCCCTATAAAATCTTATATACCCCTCCATAACCCCATGATGTTGGGAAACCGCCCGTATGATAAAACCCGTGCAGTATCAGGCTGATCCTGCCACATCCGATTCGGGCGCCGGTTCCCTGCAGCGCAGCCCTTAGAGTTTCTGGAAAGGCGCATGAGCTACGGACTAAGTTAGGTTGGGGGGGAATTCTGGGGCTCTACTATAGCTTTAAAGTTAGATTGGGGGGGGCCTATACGGAGGATGTATAGGGGGTTTAGGGCGGACCTTTACGGAATATACTATAACTTTAGTCCAGGGCTCGTATAGGATCCCCAATCAGGGACACGCATGACCCCTTTTTAATCCCCACCTGACCCAAGGGTTTCTAAGGGTCCTCTCTTTGAGCCAAAATAGACCCCAAAATATTATAGCCCTCAGTATGGGTACCCCCAATTTCTAAAGGTCTCCCAAAATTTGGGGAAACCCCATGTATCAGAGTGCCTGTATTGCCATGCTTGAACCATGCGCCCAGCCACAAGACTGCTGGGTTGCCATTGGGTAATTTCATATACGTTAGCGCAGTAGGGGAACTGAACTATTGTTGTATGTACCCATTACTGTAACTTAACTGAAGTTCCGAAAGTTAGTAAACAGTTCAGGATGTATGAATACCCCTTTTCTGATAACTTCATTCAAGCTCCTTAACACACCATATTAGTTCATATGTAGATATTCTCTTTATGTGTTTATATCCTGATTATTGTTCTGGCAACTTAATTCAAGTTCCTTAACAAAATATACCATTTAATGTATACCTACATGTATATCAGTTTTCTGGTAACTTAAATTCAAGCTCCTTGACAAACCTCATGTTTTATTGTCTATCCTATTCACATCCCTATCGTTCTGGTAACCTATTTCAAAAATCCTTCGCAGCAACCCGGAAGACTAAGAACCCACGTTGGCGGAGGAAGTCCAGGCTGTGGCTTTTGCAATGCGGTTTAAGGTATAGGGTTTAGGGATTAGGGGTTGGGGCCTGAATATCATTTTTTTGAGGTTTCCCAAGATTAGGGGTATCAATGATGAGGCTCATTTTCTGGGGGGGTCTAGATTGGGGTGGAAAGTACCATGTAAAGTCGTTAATACCACCCTTTTATGCATTATTACTGGGCGGCAGCCCAGAAGGGACCCGGAGTCCTTATGTTGTGTTAGTTGATTGAAACACCTGCGCAGTGTCTCGCCTTTGCATGTTTGTCTGTTGGACACCATCATCAGGGGTTCCGGCTCATTGTTTCTAGGTGACCTTAATTAAGGGGGGAACCTAGGAGGAGAAGTATAGAGGGGGAAGTAGGGGAATCCATGACATCAGGCTTTAAAGTTGCTCAGGTCATTTTGCAGAATCGATCTTGGACCACAACTTCCCTGCAGCCTTGTCATGTGCTTTGCTTTGCACAAATGTTTGCATGCCCTCAGGAGGCCCAAAGCCCTAAACTGTTACTATTACTTTCACATTTATTGCAAATTATTTCTTTTGTCCCCATCATATGGCTACTATATCCCTACCATACTACTACTACTACTACTACTACTACGACGACGACGACGACGACGACGACGACGACGACGACGACGACGACGACTGCTACTATATCAAGTATATCCCTTTGATATTGTCAGTATATTGCTATCTCTAGATGCCCATACTTGTACCCAGGTCCTTTCTCTAGGGTGCGTCTCCAAATATTCCCTACAAAACCTTCTCATAAAGGACCCCCCCTCGCCTAATCTTCTTATACTCTAGGGTTTAGGGCACATATATGTTTGGGGTCCCTAGGGTCTTTGAGAAACTCGCCTTGTCAGTAAGCATCTAAGAGTATGTTGCTGTTAAGGAACTGAAAATCAGTTGCTATAACAAGGAAACCTACAATTGACTACATACCCATACTATTATGCTGGCAACCTAGTTTCACTTCCTTAGCAGCAACCCAGATGAAGTGTAGCAGCGTTTGGGCCCTTGAAGTCTCCTCTGACTGATAGGTGGGAGACGTTCGCGCTTTGGTGGGCCCTAGCCGGACCATCCTCCACTTAGAGACCCAGGAGCCAAAAGTGAAGAGAAGTGAAGAGCACTTGTTTTAGATTGGGGCTTTATAGGGATAATGGAAAAGAAACTGGAAACTACTGTTTAGTATATTGAGGCCATAATCTTCCTTCGCAAAGGGCACAGAATTCAGGAGCACTTTGAATAAAAGGTTTTCAAGTTTAGTTTAGAGCAAACGCATTGCTTGGAGTTGATGGAAGAGCGAAGGGCCTCAACCCTTGGCAGAAGGCCTGACAACACATGCAACCACGCATGAAGGAGCGTGACTGCGCCATCGTCACGTTCGGGTATGAAGGCCGGTAGCGTGTGAGAGAACCTTAGACCCTAAACTCTTAACCGCGTGGCAAAGAACATCAGCATCCACGGTCATAGGGAATTTCTTGGATCTAGGCTCATGGATAGGATTCTTGCCCTTCAATCCCTATATAACCGCAATGTATGGAACCCTATACAACCCATACATCGCGCATAATCATACGTATAGCCCCTATTTGATGCTTATGTAACGTTGTTTTGGGCGCCAGGTCCATCTCGGGGAGTTGAAGGATAGCTCACATTTGCTTACGGTTGAGGGGTTTGACAGGTCTTGGCTGCTTGAGCTGGGGTTTCCCAGAATTGGGTGGATTTTTGTGGTCCCCATGCGCAGAGCTGAGCAACATGCACAAGCTGGATGACAAGAGCTATGAAGAAAGCTGATGCCAGACTTTTCCCCGGGTCCTGCTGGCGCTCAGTTCATATTGGAATACTCAAAATCGTGGTCTTTGCTGGCTTGAGCTACAGAGTTCATTTGCTACTGGGTTTTTCTCGTCATCATTGTCTGTTCTGCA